GGCCTGCCAGTTTGAACATGAAGGAGGCAGGCCTGCCAGTTTGCACATGAAGGAGGCAGGCCTGCCAGTTTGAACATGAAGGAGGCAGGCCTGCCAGTTTGCACATGAAGGAGGCAGGCCTGCCAGTTTGCACATGAAGGAGGCAGGCCTATGAGAAGCTCCGATGGCTCATAGTTCTGTTGGCCTCTTTGGCTCTTGGTTTTGTCTAACGCAAACCTTCTGTTGAGAAGGTCCTCTGAATCACACAAGATGCTATAGCATGACATGGTTCTTTTCAACTGGCCTCAGTAACACATGCTAGTGTAGGTGTGTTAATGTAGCATCTTCATGCAATACAGACCACCCACTTTCAGTAATCCTGCAGACAGAAGGAACTTTCTGGCAAAAAGCCCTGCAGTGTCCACTCTTCCTCCCCCGCAGACTACAACAGCAGTGACCTGAAGACTGCATGCAAGAAGCAGGAGCTGTACGTCAGCTTCCGGGAGCTGGGCTGGCAGGTACCGGCGCCGTGTGCCGGGGGGGGACGACACACCACCGCCGCGAATCTCAGCAGAGACTGGTTTTGGTACCATTATGACTGAGTGTCATAGAAAAACACCTTTGCAAAAATTTGTACTTTTAAGTGCTGTGCTATTCTGCATTTAATAAAAAATGGATCATTGACCTAATTTGATGAGCACATTTCGGATAATTAGCCTAGCTATGCTTTATAGTTGTAAAGCACACACACACATACTGGCAGGATTTATTTCCCGATTTGGGAAATGGGATTACACTGGTTTGTGAAATTTCAGAGATGTTTGGGCCCAGTATGCACAGAAGAAGCCCCTCTCCCCCGCACCCCCCGTCCCCGTGAACATCAGGCTAAGTATTCATAATCAGTCAGATGGTCAGCGATCTCTCACAAATCTGCATGCTTAAATGTGTTTGCTTGACTCCAGTCACCGTAACACGCAGGAAGATTAAGACCTCCTTTCATCAGAGTGTGTGGCTGAAAAATGGCTTATAGCCCCTCATCGATTAGGTTTATTATTTCTCAGGCAACAATTTCTATCACCGCTTACAAATATTGCGGTGATAGCTTAACGCTGCTGGTGTTCAGGTGACGGCCCGGGTTAAGCTACGCGGGCTGGTCCCTCATGGGCCTCTCTGATATCCTTCGCCCAACATGGTGACTGGGCTGGGAATGTGCAAACTGTCGCAGAGTTTTCAGGCCGTTGTGAAACCATCTCTTGTTTGTACGGCAGAACTGGATCATTGCTCCTGAACGCTATGCTGCCAATTACTGCGATGGGGAGTGCAGCTTTCCGCTCAACGCCCACATGAATGCCACAAACCACGCCATCGTGCAGACATTGGTGAGTCCCACTCTTACAGCTTGTGAGATTTCGGTAAGGAGGTCCGGCCCTCCTTCAGGGAAGATTTACTCTAATAAAGTCTATAGGGAGGAACATAATGAGCAAATATCCTAACAACAAAGGCGGACCATCACTACTCATAAGAGCTGCTGATCATGGGCGCTGGGGCCACCCTAAGACAGAGCCTGAGAGTCCATCGCAGAACACACACAGACATCATACGTCATACACACATAAATAAATCACACACACATCATACACACACACCCAGGTTTGTAATTATATCTTGTGGGGACTCTCCATTCATTTCTATGGGGAAAACTCTAATCCCAACATGACGACCTTAACCCCTAACCCAGCCCTAAGCTTAACGTTAAGTAACCAAACAAAATATAAGAGTTTTGGCATTTTTAGTTTTTTGATTGCACTCATAGATCTTTGTGGGGACCTGAAAAATGGCCCACATAAAGTCCAAATGGCGGCAGAGGCACGGTCTGTCTGTTCCTCTCCAGGTCCATCTCATGAACCCGGAGAACGTGCCCAAGCCTTGCTGCGCCCCCACCAAGCTGCACGCCATCTCGGTGCTCTACTTCGACGACAACTCCAACGTCATCCTGAAGAAGTACAGGAACATGGCGGTGCGGGCCTGCGGCTGCCACTGAGCCCCCCTCCCAAACGAAGCTGCAGTGCTGCAGGACCGTGGGGGGGGGGCAGAGACGCTGACCCATCTCTCTCAGGCAGCAAGCGTAACGGGACTAAACGGCATGTGGGCACGGAACTTAACACTGTGTCAGATGAGCTGAAAGGCAGGGAGCAGGAATCACAGCAGCACACAGAGACTTAAACAGGTTCATCCCTATAATAATGCTGAAGTTTTATATCAGGTAACAATGCAATAAGTGTTCAGCAGTTGTAGTGATTCCCTATGAAAATATGTATTTACTAAAATTTAAATAAACAGTAGTGTATATATTCAAATTGGATGCGTCCTTGAATTTGCTCTAAATGTGTCCTTATATAGCCAATCCCAGTGCGTAGGTGAATCCAAACATGATGTTAAGTCTTAATTCTGGTAAATAACAGTGCGTGTAATACCATAATGGCTGTGTTGTGTGTAACAGGGTCAAAAGGCACAAAGTACTGTGGACAGAGTGCCAGTTCAATGCAGCACAAACACACACACACATACACATACGGACCGAAAAGGTGGTCCCCACAATGTCAAAATAAGTTATTATTACATTGTGGGGACATGGGGGTGGGGGTGTTGAAGCTTCAGTGCTGCTCTTTGAGCCACAGTATCAGTACATACATGCGTTTTCTGCATGGCTGCACATACATGTGCATTCTCCGCATGTCTACATATATGTGCATTTGCTGCATGTCTGTGCATACATATGCATTCACTGTATATCATTCTGTTTTCTACAGATGATTATTTCATGTAATTTTAAAGTTTCTTGGGTCGAATACTGGGCTCCCCATAACTACTGCGCTCACTTTCTGGGAATAATGTGTAATCTCTAGAAATTTCATCTTGAATACTTTTCCAATCTGAAGATTTTTGAGTGTTTTGATTAACGCGGTGTGAGCTGTACGAAAGTGCACTCTGAAATCCCTGGCCATTCCCATAGCGGCTTATGGGCAAAGCACTGAAACCAGACAGTTTATTGTTGCGGTGAGGAATCGGAAACTGCGAATGCTGGATAGCCGACGGTGACCTAGAATGTCCCTCAGGCCAGGCGGTGGAGCGGCAATGGTGAGTAGCTGGTGCGAGGAGCAGGAGGAGCACATGGCAAATGCAGGCCGGCGGTGTGTATGAGCGTCCCGCTGGAGGGACTGCCCATTTGGAGAACATTCCGGAAAAGTGGCAGAATGAAACGGAAGCTTAGAGAAAGCGGCGGCATTGTTCAGGCACTCCTTTTATTCTTGGAACAACAAGAATGGAAAGTAACATTTCACATCATTTAGTTTTTTTTTCTTTTTCTTTGACTGCATCTGCAATATAATGTGTCGCATAGGGTGACAACACTCTAAATCAATAAAAACAAAGTAAATAGCAACAAACAGTAACAGTCTAATGTTCACCAGAATAGTCCTGTACACAGTTCTGTCACAAAATCTGCATTATCATGTTTCATTGCATATTTTTCTTTCAGGGCATAAAAATTAAAGACTGAATCTGCCTAGATAGTCCTGTAAGTCCTATTATATTTTTATCAAGGACATTTGAAATGCTGGTGATTGTGGTCGGGGGGGAGCCCGTAAATCCGGCTCGCTCCTCTCTGCCGTGCCGGTCCTGACCTCCCTCATTCCTGTCCCCTGTGCGCTGGAACGCCGGCTGGGACAGTGACATTCACACACAGGCCCGAGATGGAACCTCGGAAGAAGCCAGGTCAGCACTGGGCAAAGTGGTAAGGTGCCAGTGCAGATGTTTGATTGCACATCTGCTTGACTTTTCCATGAAGCAGGGTATAAAAGAATAAAATGTCTGGTACACCTGAAGACACGCCAGCGAGCGGTTTGTCATTAGCTGAGCATTTTAACCTGATAAGCCAGAACAGACACAATGTGCCCTTGTGCTTGTTCGCTCTCCAGGGAGAGCAGCATTCAAAACCTGAGGTCAGCCATTATGCTTTTGATCTCCACATCGCATTTCTCCAGAGATTAGAGGCTGCAGCTAAGCTGCTCCTGGCTGTGAGAGATACAGTAATAATGGTTGAAACAGGCTGTGAGAATGGAGTGGACATTCCAGCACTGATAAGGGTGCAAGCCCTGCAGGCTACTGTAGCTGTTATAGTGAATTAGTCTCAGAAGACTTGGGGGGCGATGTGAGATCCTCACATGAACAGTGCTAAGGGAGCCTGTGAAATGACTTTCTGTGATCTGCTGTTCCCTGGTGCCGCTATCCTGAAAAGCGACGTTGTGTCATGCTGTGTCAGGGTCCTTCCGGGGGCTGGTTACCCCGGGAAGTGACGTTGTGTCATGCTGTGTCAGGGTCCTTCAGGGGCCTGGTTACCCTGGGAAGTGAAGTTGTGTCATGCTGTGTCAGGGTCCTTCAGGGGCCTGGTTACCCTGGGAAGTGAAGTTGTGTCATGCTGTGTCAGGGTCCTTCTG